ACACTGATAAAGAGTAGTATAGCCATTCATACCTAAGTTTAAATGCTGAGCATTAAAAGGAGCTTTTGTTGTCCAAATACTTTGATGTGGCCTCACTGTGAGAGGTCACATGCCCTTGCTAATAGGCAGGTTGTTGGTCATGGCATTATCCTATTCTACATTTAACAGCTATTAAATGCAACATTAGCTTTTAAATAGCCACTTAAAGTGGGACCAGCAGTTGGCATAATGACTATGTCACTGGACTCCCATGTAGTCATCCAGGGTTCGAGTCCCGGACTCAGTTGGCTTAGACTCACGCAGGGTGTGAGTGCCTGCCCAAGATCTCCAGAGGAGAATGGAGGAGAAGGGATTGTGTAGTGGCCATCCGCCCTGGCAGGTGATTTCTCGCTTTCTGTCTTTCTGGCAAGCGCACCTATAACAAAACCTCTCCAAAAAAAAAAAAAAAAAAAAGAGCCACTTAAAGTAAGAAACACTTAAAATCCCAATGACTTACAAATGTTCTATCCAATTTACATGTTAAATACAAGATTCTAGTATGGAAATAAGTAGTTCACTTTATTTTCCTTTTTCTTAAGAATTATTTTATTTAACTATATTTATTTATTTTAATCTGACCAGAGAGAGAGAGAGAGAAAGCAAAGTGCCAGGTCTGGGACTTGAACCACAGTAAGCCACATGGAAGACCAGTGCCCTTAACCATCTCACCACCTCATCTCACCACCTGATGGCCCCTATTTTCTTTTTCTTAAGGAAGCAAGAAATAAGGACGTGTGCACATGGACACCATAGTCTGTTGTTATTTTGCTAGAGGGCATGTGGTATGTTGGCCAGAGAGAGAGAGGGAAGGAAAAGAGAAAGCACACCCCCATGGGGAACGGTCATGCAGAAATCCCTTCTCTTCCATCTCCTTCCTTTCAGGGTTTTAGACACATGCGCACACATATGCACACACCGGTTTCTCAAGCCACAGGGTCTGGAACTTGAACCATGCAGTTGGCCACGTGATATCTGGCTGCCTTCACCACCAGACCACTGTGCCAGCCCCACAGTCTGTTCTATAGGATTCTTCCTGGAAAAATATTATCTGTAATGTCCTATTATTTTTATCTCCTGTATTCAAATATATTTTTAGCTACATATAATCCTAATCGATGCTAACAGCTAAATCATGAAAAAGTTTAAGCAAAAATGGCTAAGCTATAAAAAAACCTGAAAATATGAAAAAATATTTCCATAATTTAAAAAAGTCATGGAAACAGAACAACCACCACCATCCTCTCAGATCTCCAGTGTCAGCAACTTTTACACACCCTCTCCTATGCCCAGCAGCCCACAACATAACAAAAAGAGGACATCAGTTCTGTTTACATAATCACATAGGGGCCTATACCAGACCCCACAAGATACCAGCAGTGATTCCAGCCAAACTCAGCTACAGTCTTTCAAAATAACAACTATTTCCTATCCTTATATCCAAGGAGAAAACAAAATTAAGTCTGTACCTGGGAGCCATCAAGTCTTCATATGCTATATCTTTGTATTTGGAACAGAAAGCACAAGACTATCAAAGCTATCTAACGTGCATTTTTTTCCTTCATTCCAGATGCAGGGGATCTCAAACTCTGCAAGGTTCTGCTATAATCTTCCCAGCAGAGGGGTATCTGAATGCAGAAAAGCAACATTCCTTCCACATTCCCTCGAGAATTCGGTAATCAAGAGCTAAGCTTGGTCTGAACCAAACTCAACAATGCCCCTTCCAGAAAGCCCTCACACCCCACCCCAATTCAGCTTGCAGTGAGAGCTAGGCCAGCCTGCCAAGCAACCAATCACCTCCGGGGCTTGCTCCCCTGTTCAGTCACTGCAAGTCCATTCATCCATCTCAGAGTGCTGCCATAAGCATTCTCCAGCACCAGGTTCCCAACATGCCTTGCACAGCAGGTATAAAGGTCACTGCTGCACATGTGGGTGTGCCTGCCTCAGACGCCCACATGATGGAATGAAATGAAGGCTAAGCAGGAAGAACTCTACCTCACAATCTAGCAGGCTCACTTAGCAAGGACTAGTAGGTAGAATTCAGCCCTGAAGAGGAACCTCACCAGTACCATCTCTTGACATTCCCCTAACTCCTGGACATGTGGTGATCAGGGTGCCTTCTTGCCTTCTCCCAGAATATACAGATTGTGGAATAGTCCAGATAAAGGAAACTGCATCACTGCTACAAGGTTCAGTTAAAACGATAATAATATGGATTTCCAGTAAATTTTGTTTTCAGGCACTTCAAGCAAAGGACTTGATTGTTCTCAGTACAATACTGTCTCCAACGCCCATTTACTTTGCTAGTAAAATAATTATCAGTTAAAACCCTAAGCACTTTAATGCTAGTTAAAAGTGAATTTGAATATTCTATCTAGATTGCTAAAAAAAGAAAAAAACTTCCATTGATAAATATTTGCTCCCACTGGTAATATTTACCTCTTATGCTTTCCTAATAAGGAACTCCTGTTCATAACAAAGCACCAAGTAACTTTTTTTTTTTCTAAAGAGAGGTTTTTGGTATAGGGAGGATGTGCTTGCCAGAGAGACACAAGATGGCCACACCTCAGTCCTTTCTCCTCCAGTCTCCTCTTGGGATTTTGGGCATGTTTGCACACACACAGTTTAAGCCGCTGGGTCTGGGACTTGAACTGGGATCAACTAAGTGGGTGTGTCCAGTGATGTAACCATTATGCCATCTGCTGGTCCCTCCAAGTAACTGTTTTTAAACTGGGCAAAGCCCTTTAAGAATACAGGCAATCGTTACAAGGTAATGTTTTTCATTTAATTCTCTGCACATGGGTGAAATTCACACCAGGTTGGAAGGGGCAAGCAGAAGGGAAGGCAAAGTAATCTGCATGTACATATAGGTTAATGAATTGTAACTGAAAAACTCAATAAACTATTTAATGTTTAAATTGAGAAACTCTCACAAATATTAAGATGCCAATCCTTCAAACACAACCTTTTTTTTTTTTCTTATTCAGCATTTAAACAAAACTAAGATACACTATCTAGGTGCTGTCAGGTGGTGTGGTGGTTAAGAATGCTGGACTCCCACATGGCCAATCACAGTTCAAGTCCTGGACCTGTCAGCTTGCTGTCTCACTCCCCACCCCCACCCCCATTCTGTCCCTCTCTGGTCAAATTAAAATAAATAAATAAATAAAGTTAAATAATTCCTTTTTTAAAAAAGATACACTGACTGGGACCAGCAGTTAGGGTAATGGCTATGTCCCTGGACTCCCACGTAGTTGACCACGGTTAGAGTCCCGGACCCAGTGGCTTAAACTCACACAGGGCGTGTGTGCATGCGCACCCAAGATCCAGAGAGGAGAATGGAGGAGAAGGGATTGTGGCGTGATTTCTCGCTTTCTGTCTCTCTGTCTCTCTGTCTCTGTCTGGCGAGTGCACGTGCCCTATAGCAAAAAACTCTCAAAAAAAAAAAAAAAAGATACACTAAACATGAAACCAATCAGAATTTGCAGAATGTGTTTTCATTTTTTTCTAGGTACCCAGATTCTGCCTTTAAACTTTTTAAAAGAATATCACTTCTGCCTCAATTTTTAAATTTTTGTTAGGCTAAAATCAATTTAGATATTTTATAGTACACACTTTATTATTTCAGAAGCTTTAAAAAAGAATTTGTGCCTATTACATGAAATAACTTGACCCCTACCAAAATTCCCAACTAGACCTAAAACTACCAAGTTACTTAAATCTCTTTCCAAATATCTTAATAGGAAATTAAATACATGAACAAGAGAAATCAACAAAAATTCTGAGTGGCCCATTGCTAAAAACAAGATGTGTAAAAATGCTGTGCCTAAAAAAGAGCTCAAAGTAGAAACAAGCATACCAATGACATTTTGTGCAGCCATGGCTCTCTGCAAAACACCAGGAAAATGCATAGCAAACCCTACAGTCTCACCAATAACTAACCAGATAAACGCAGCTCTGGTTTAAATTAACTTCCAACTTATTGTTTGGCTCGGGTTGGCAGTGGGGGATGGAAGAGGGGGAGGCAGAACCCTACCCCCACCTTGCAAAACCCAGAAAGGCAAAGGCCAATCCTAGCGCCCTTGGGAGAGGGCAGACTTTCCAGCTGGTGAAACAGAGCTGAAATCTGGCCTGCTTTAGAAAAAGAAGCCATTTCTCCAAAATACTTCAGAGGCTAAAACAGTATGCAAACATCCTGTAAAGTGACACACCAACACGCTCTAGAAGAAGAGAAATCCTTCTACCTAAGCAGCACAAACCTTCCTGCCTTCATCCCCTCTTGGTGGTAAATTTATAGTTAAAAATACACCGAAAAGGGAAGTGTGGAAGACAAAGGCGATGGTTGCAGAAACCTGTGTAACTCTGGAGTAACTGAAAGGCACCTCTGGACAGGAGACGCTCAGGCGTCCTTTCCTGTGCTCAAATGCTCGCTGGCCAGATAACCCAGTAAAGGCAAATTCCTCTCCCTCAGATGTACCGCTGGCCTCGGAACTCCCGACCGAGAAGGAAGGGCGCGCCACACCCCCGCGTGTCCGCAGCTGCTTCTGCCTATCCCGCACCTATACGGGTGGAGGATCATCCACTGCTCCCCAGTCCTGCGGATTCCCAAAAACTGTCCGTTGAGGCTCTGACTTCCTGTTGTAGCAACCTGACCTGCCCTGCAGAGAGCAGATAGCTGTGAAAACTTTCCTGAGAGACTCTTACAACCAATAACAATAATCCGGCCGCACTGGTCAGAGACGAGTCCTAGAGTCCTAGATTCCTTCCCAGAGTTACAACCAACCAACACACACACACACACACACACACACACACACACACACACACACCTGCCATACGGATAAAGCCAAGAAACGCCAAGCTACCCAACAGCCTGATAAGCCTAAGAGAAAAAGAAGTATCATAATTTTCAGCTGTGTTGAGTCTTTCTTCCAAATAATGGGGTGAGAACAGAATAGGCTCACCTTTGCCTTTTGGGGACCGAGTGCTCAACTTCTATGGGTTTCCCGTGCAATTCCGTTTTACCTGCGGACACACAAGAGGTTAGAGACGGTCGGCAGGTTCAGCGGCTCTCCCAGCCCTAAGGACCCGAACAGCCCAGGGAGGACACAAATGGCCCCCAAAGCCCAGACGCGGTGAAAGACGAGGCCAGCCAGGCACCGCGGGGCAGCAGGCCGACCCCTCAGTGGGTGAGTCTTTAACTTAGAGGCTGGAGGACGATCAATTGGCGGCGGATCACTTGGGTAACATCCTAACCCCCAGGCCTCTCTTACCCCTCAGGGGGGGTCCCCCTAGCCCACAAAGCTCGCTAGAGATAGGGCCTCTCCTCTCCTCTCCCGGGACACTCCCCACAGGACAAACTCGGAGGAGGGGGCTAGATTGGCTTTCTGCAGGAAGGGGCGCCTGGCCCTTTGCTCTGGTTCTAGCCCAGGCCGGCCGGGGACACTTGGCGGTGGAGTAGGGGTACAGGGAGGGAGGGAAGCGGTTACGGACCACAGAGGAGGCGAAGAAAGAGGAAAGGCCAAGGGTGCAGCTCGGCACAGGCTGCACCAGGCGTAAAAGACGGCGAGGCGTCTGCACCGGTTCGGGCTGATA